GAAATTTTTTTTGGTAATTTTAAGACTCCTAGAGACTAACAGAGTTTCATAAATATCGAGACTAATAATTGTTTAAAGGAAATTGTGCTTTTTAATGGAAACCCATGACAATAAAAAACAGAGATTAAAGAACTAACTATGTTTTACCTATGTGTCCATAGGCATACTATAATGATGCACCATTTGGCTACGTGTAATCGTTGTTTGGAAACAATACTGACAGGTTTCCAATATACGAAAAATAAACGCAGCTTTGATGACGCAGTTCATGAAATCACAAAGTGATTTTTAAGTTTGTATACTAAACTATCCTGTTAGTTGATAGATTTTTCCTGTCTGAGAATTTACCGCATTCACTACATCATTATGAATTGAAAAATATGCATTGAGGGCTTTTCTTTGATTTAAGTTCGATTGTGTATGCGTTATTTATTTTCTCTGGGCGAAAAAAAGGTTCGAAAAGCTTATGCACACTTGTGGTACTTAGGTACCTACAATTTAATTACCTAATCTTTGAGTTAGGAACTTAAGACACAAGTACACACCGACGAAATTTGCGATATGTATTTCAACTACGAGTATTTTAAGAGAGAGTGTACTTTTAGGATCGGAGCAGTAAAAAAATATCCCTTCCAAAATATAAGTAATATATTTATTTATAGTCTGTTTGCAGACCTCAGTCTACGTTAAACAGTTTTTTTTTTTCTATACATAACAAACTAACAGCTAATAATGCCAACACGATTGTGTTACAAGAAACAAAAAGTCATTAATAAAAAAGAAAATAGAACAAAAAATAAAATCCAAATCTATTTAACACAGATATATTATAGTAGAGGTAAGCAGTTTCAGCTAAATTTATTGTATCTGCAAAAAATGTCGCCATCCTGTAATACTATTCTGTGAGAACAAACTCACCACGGAATTCGCTGGTCTGATTTGAAATTCACTTGAAATTGTGTTTTAATATTGAACCGCATCGCGGATTCCGAGGTGAAAAGTGAGTTGGTTCTTACAGAAAAGCACTCCTGGACTCTATTTAAAAAGGAGTTAAGGAAGGTAATCGCACGGACAGTCGGACAGTGATTTGCAGCGTGACATGGAAACCTGCAGTATAATATAGTCATGCGATTCCACAGAAAATATGCTGCGCGGAATCAATTCCGATTTCCTACTGGCCTTCTATACCTACTTTCTAGCAAATGTATATTTATATTTACCAATAAACAAGTAGATACTTTTAGAAAAATATTTTTTTTTCTTTTAATCTATTTGCATAATTGAGTATTAAATTTAAAAACCTTTTAAACGAGCAGGCTAATACATCAACAAGCAAGTAAGGTCGGGGCATAACGGATTGCTCGTTCGTATTAGAGCGTCCGAAAGGGGAAGTCACCTTCACCTTACAGGAGAACGCAGCAAAGGGACATTTCCGCTTGATAGTATTGTGGTTATGTTGGTGAGTAAGGTTCCACTGATCCACAAGGTAAGGGATGGGGGTCAGATCAGAGAGATGAGGCATGTTTTGTCTAAGAAACTGGACTCCCCTTACACTTAAAATTAGGTGGGGTAGATATTTTTACAAGTTGAGGAGCTGGCGAACAAAAATTCATCACATCGCATCTGGTCAAACTACATTTTTTTACAGTCCGGAGGTTTGGGCCAATTGAATTTGAATCTCAAATGTTTTTTTTAATCAAAATCACCTAAAACAGTGTTATAATGACTAACAATGCCGAAACCTCACTGTAGATATGTTATTTACTTTTATACAGCTCCCGTAAAATTTAATTTTATGTAATTATACCGTTTTGTTCGCCAGCTTCTCAGTTGTTTCAAAGTATTTTTGCAAAAAATTGAAAACACAGCTAAGAAAGGCCTTAAAGCACAGCTTAAAGTGCCCTTTCAAGTAAGCAAACAACATCGGCAAGAATCACGAGTTAAATTGTGAAAAGTATTAACTTATCTATATAATAGTTATTTTATATTTCACAATAATCTACTTTAAAAATTGTAAATCTGCTAACTTTCTCCGGTTCAATTTCTTCTGCATTTCTTTTATTTTGATGAGGCATTAGTATTACAATGGACAGAAGACTTTCGATAATAATGGTTTTGTAAGCACTTTTTTGCACGACGGAAACCCCTATTCAAATCGAATTAGTGCAACGGAACGCTATTAGGTAATATGACGGATTTATAATTCGATTAAGACTATTATTGTATTGGTTACACTTAGGTAATTCAAGATTCACTTTAATGGCACTGGCACTTATATGAAAGAAATCAGATTTGATCTTGCCTCTCTGTTTTTTTAAAGGAATTTGGTCCATGATGAGTAGAAATATACTTTGCCATACAGATTTTTCGCACGTAATTACACGATAGCATAGCATAATATTTAAATTTAGCATTAGTGAAATTATAATTATTAATTGTTGAGATACAGCTTCCCGGGAGCTTATTTATGTTTAACAGTCTAAGCAAACTGTCTAGCTATCATAGCTCATGAGATACAGCCTGGTGACAGACAGACGGACAGTAGAGTCTTAGTATTAGGGTCCCGTTCTTACCTTTTTGTTGGGCCTCTAAAAACTGGCCAAGGGCGACTTTGGCTTCGCTTTATTAGAGTTCCGTAAAATCTTTGTTTGTTTTCGTCATAACTTACAAAGCACATTATTAATTGGCGTATTCACTATTTGTTGTTTAAATACAGTATACATTATACTATACTTAAATTTCACATTCTTAACTTGTTTCGATTTTGAGATAGACCTCATCAAAAATGGTCTAAATGACAACTACTGTCCATTTCTGTTAATCGCCTCCCAGGTCGACACAACTATACTTTCTACGTTTTCTTTATTACAAAAACCTGTGCGAAGCAGGGGTAAATGGCTGGTAATATATAAAATTGTACCGTCTCTGTATGGTTTTTTTCATTATTTCTAACGTAACAATAATTTCAGTTTTATGCACAAGTCGAACTGTGATTGTAAACAGTAAAACGACCTCCGCTCCAACAGCATGAGTCACGAATATGAATCGAGGCTTTAACAAACTAGTGAATGCAAAAGGTAAGCTGTTACTGCATTATAGAACACAACACAAAATTAATTAGCACAGGAACAAGTTTAACTTATTTCAATTAATAGTTGAAACTGGTAAAGATATAGTGAATATAGCGCGTACTTACGTATATTGCATTCTTAATTCTTTAATTTTCATGACCTTTTCTGATGCTATGGTCGCAAGATTACCGAAAGGTTAAACAAATTAATGCCTACAAACACTTAGAAAAGTATAAAACGCAATAAGGAATTGAACCGCAATCGAGGCGTAAGATAAGTTTCATTTTCGTTAACTTACATGTTGTTGATTTTTTAATGTTAAAAGGTTGGCAAACACGCTTAAAGCCCTTCTGATGGTAAGCGGCCATATATTCACGCAAGCAAAACCTATTGACGCTTGCGATAACAAAAATATCCCTACCACTACCTAATCCCTACCCCGTGGAGTCTTGGAACCTTACTCACCGACAAAAACACAACATCGTCAAAAGCTGTGTGTCATTTTTCTGTGGTCTTCTGTAAGGTGGTAGGATACCTGCCCAGGCGGGCGCTCCAATTCGAGCGAGAAAGAGAGGAGGAATTTAGGATTTAGAAGTTTAAGTTTTTTTTTAATCTCCAATTAGCCTAGCCCCAAAGTAAGCACTATTAGGCTTGTGTTATGGGATACTAAGGTAACGGATAGAATACATGTACTGTACATATATAAGTATATTTATATAGAAATACATATTTAACATCCACGACTGGAGTACAAATCCACTTATTCATCACACAAACATCTGCCCCCACCGGGATTCGAACCCAGGACCTCTCGAGTCGGCGACACCATGAAACCCGGCGTACAAACCAATCGCCCACGGAGGTCCTCAAAAAATAAAATATAAAATTCTATTACTATCGCTAAGATAGTGACAGCTTCAACTTTATTCAAACTTAAGTGTCGCCGCACACGGGCCCCCGACCACAACCACAAAACGCCGCCACCGGCATATTTATTGTAGTTTTCATACATTTTATATGGACTCGCCACACACGGTACGCCGGTGGCCGCCACTCGCAACAAATCGTCGTTGCTCGCTTCTTGTGGCCGATACAAAACGCCGCCACAAGTCACTCGCGCGATTCCCCACCACTCTCTCCCTTACCTTAGTCGGCCGCTGTCGCGCTTCAGCCATTTTAGTAGCCGCTTCTAGCTTCTCGTGGCGGCGTTTGTGGCTGTGGCGTGTGGCCGTGTGCGGCGACACTTAAAGTCAATTGAAACCACTAAGTGTGTCACGTTTTTAGTATTTTTATTCATAAACAATTGATTGATTTACTCTATAGAATAGTAAGTCGATAGTCCTTTCCAGTTTCAGTAAATAAACAGTACTGTAGCACTAATTATAGACAGTAAATGTTATTGAACGATTGTGAAATGCGTGGGCATTCCATTATGACCAACAATCATTCAATATCCGTTCATTGGTAAAATGTAAAACTGTGTTACGAACCAAATTTGGAAGTACTTAAACTACTAAGTATTGGAATTGAAATAACAAGAACTTTTGCGTTGCACTCCCACTTTCACGGTATCTATGTAATTAAACAACTACTAAAAATTAAAAATTATATTTTGGTTATTCAAAAAACAAATCACGATGTAACTTAAGACTAATTATATGTAAAATTAACAACAAAGCATTTTATAAGCTTAATTTTCCAAGAAATGCGTCTGACGATGATGTGCAAAGTATGGTCACATTCTTGTACCATTCGTCAAGATACCAATAAAGTTGCTTATAATAATATGGCTTTCGTCTTTTGGTTGGACTTATCGCAAGGGCGGTTGCCATGACTGTCGTAAAAATACGTGAAGATCATTGCATATTAGCCTTTACCTACGGCAGTTGATAGTTAGTATTCAAGTTGAATAGAGAAAAGGAAACTTACTAAAAGTAGCAGCTCGTCAGTAGAAACAAACTCCGTTTTGCTTGATCTGAAATAGAGGAGAAAATATTATTTTAAGTTATTGTTTAATTCATAATTCATCATCAGCCTATTAATGTCCCCACTGCTGGGGCACAGGCCTTCCCTGTGGATGGAATAGGGAGATTGGGCCATGACCCACCACGCAGGCCCAGTGCGGATTGGTGGGTGCTAACGACTGCAGATGCAGCCGGGACCAACGGCTTAACGTGCCTTCCGAAGCACGGAGGAGCTCGAGATAGTAAATTTTTGGTCACCCATCCAATGACCGACTATTGCGAAAGTTGCTTAACTTCAACGATCGCAGCCGAAAGCGCTAACCACTTGCGACATCGAGCTCCTCGATTATCTATTATTAGTGCCAATTTTGTCTTTGTCGATAATTTATATTTATATTATTATACATTTCTTTGAACACGTTTATATTTTCCGACGTAGTTTCTATTTATGAATAGAAGCTTCACAATTTGCTAATTGACAAATCACTTGATCTTGAATATGGATATTATACTTTATAAAAAAAGAGACACAATAAACTTATAGTTACAATGTTACTATAACAAAGGTCACAATATATTAAATTCATCATAAAGATATTTAAAACTGCGTCATGGTCAACACTCAATTGAATAAAAATTATAATAAACCTTTTTTTGTTTAGTCAAATTACTATTTTGTAATTATATTTGGAGTTGGTGCCCGTGCCAGGTCAACTCAAGTAGTAAATGGGAAGCAGATCCAACAGACCTGCATGGCACCGACTCCAAATATAAATTTGATTAAAGATAAAAAATGTTTCTTTTTTTAACCATTCGGCGGTTTAATTTTTTTGTTAAAAAAGTTTTTATTTTACAATTTGTTGTTGCTATAATTTTTTTGGGTAATATAGAATTCGACATCAATATCTGTAAGTGAACAATTAATCATTCCCTGTTTTCATACCCTTAGGGATGGTTTTTTTTTTGGGATGGATGGATGGATGGATTGGATGGAAAATCGGACTACTGAAAAAAGTTATGCGTGTAAGTACATAAAAAAAAATATACGCGTTGACTTGAGAACCTTCTCCGTTTTTTTCGTAGGATGTTTAGTCCGCATTTTTATATGAAAAAAAAACAAGAAAACCTCACTTTATTAACTCAATACATGTGAATAGGGGAGAAACTGATAATTTGTTATAAATTAATAACTACGCTAGGACCAATAAGGTATTTGATTGTTTTATTTTGTCAACATATGAACAGTTTTTATATTTGACTACTACAATGTTTAGATGAAAATTTCATTGGTCTCTATGCGGATCTAACTCGATCTCTATATGTCTAGCACTCAGGCGGAAACCACTTTCTGAAATGACTACGTGTACCTATAACGTCTACATTTCGCAGAAAGCTAAAAACTGCCGTCTTACCTCACCCACTGCCATTAGTGAAGTTATATCGTCAGTTAAATATCTTTTATATAAGTACGTTTTCTCATTTCATTACAGAGCTTGTTTAAATAGGTAATAATAAAATACGCATTACATTAATTTATAATATTTTCTGCACGCTATTATAATGTGGCTTTTGTATTTGATTACTTCCACTTTTGAAAGAAATAAGGTGAATTTGAGTATTGAATTCAGAATTACAGAACGGGAATATTTTCCAGATAAAAAGTTACGGTTACTTTTATCTCCTGACTAAAATTATGAATAAATTGGTTTGGGATGATTACAAATTAAGTACATGTAATCTATTGTTATATTGTTACTTACCATATGCTTTTGATAAAAGATTGTAAATGAAGATGAACATAAATATTACACTACTTATCTTCTTTTAACACCGAAAACTGATTCAGAATTTACTAAAAGAAGAACAATGAAATGTTCTATTCATAGTTTCTTGGTTTCATATAACAGCTGAGAGCTGTGTCGTTTGCGTGTCGGACGGAAAGGTCATCGTATTACGTGGAGTAAAACCAAACCAACGGTCTTCTTCGAGCCGATTCGCAATTTCTTGAATTGGAAACGCTCGTCATACGAAACCGTGCCCAGCGAAATTTTCCGATAACGCGATGCGGTTTGCGTCATTTACAGGGTTATATGGACACGTACTAAGACCGTCACCTATAGCTATTTGATCTTTAAAACTAAAACTTAAGAGCGCACAATATTTTCAGAAATGCTGCAGGATTATCAGCCTATTTTCAACTGTTTTACGAAACATAATTTAGTTGCATTAGATAGGTTGGTCAGCCAAAGCATTGAACTTAAGCCTATTCAACCATTTCAAATGGCACGCGAAAGCTCAAAATGCAATGGTTCAGTTATTATTTATTTATTTATCATACAAATACAGAACATACACATGCATATTTCAAAGGCCATACACGAAAACCTGCCAATGTGTGTATAAGAGCCACTCCTTTAATATTTTATACACTTCCAAGTTGACTATTTTGTAAGTTATATCTTTTTTATTTATTAATTATAGTGTTAGAGTACATTTCCCGTAAATTACTAGGCAATTCATTGACAAAAAGGTTTAAATAACAAAGTTTTATATTTCCTTGGACATTATTACATTTCGGCAATAAATATTTTCTACGATCCAACACATTTCTCAGATTATCTGGTCTTTTATTAATATTCAAGTACTTAATCTCGTTCCATTCGGTTAGAATTGCGTATTTTATTTTGTCGTAAATATTCATCACATTACAATATTCGAAATATATAATTCAATCAATTAGGATGGTGATTTGCTTGCGCAATCTACACACCTAAACACCGAATTACAAATACACACCAAATAGAGTTTGTGAAAGAATACTTCGGTAGTTATTATGGTCCGTCATTAACACGATTTTTGCCTATTAAAATCCATTTGTTGTGTACATTTATTCAGCTATTTTAATAGCGGACCGGTGGATGCACTGTATGCTATTGATTACTGTAACTGAGTAAATTGTTTTCGGTCTTATATTATTTACTGTATAATAACTTAAATTATGTAAGGCATGAGGGGGTTTGATTTTTATACTTGTGAAATTACTGGTTGTACAATGGAGTTTGTTTTGTTTTTACGGAAACTCTGTGACGGTCCAATTTTTTCTAGTCACGGGGTTATGAAGAGAACTTTCGTTTGTCGGTCGCTTTGTTGGAACGGCTACTTATATTTATTGATAAATTGAACTGACCTATAGCGGAAGAACTGCCTATCTGTAATGGTCTCTTTGTTCTCGGAAATCATTTCGTAACTGAGATTCAGAGATAGATGGTATTGGTGGTTGGTAATTTATTCTAGAGTGATAGTTTTGATAACTTAATGACCTTATAGTAATTGTAACTTTTTATTGCATTAAACCAATTTTTTAATAACATAGCTGTTTAAGTTTAACGATCTATTTAGTAATTTGACCAATGAGCTTGTGAAATTTAAGTTTGACTGCATAGAATGACATTTGAGCAACCAATATCAATAGTAGGTCGATATCAGGAAATAATAGTGACAGGTTTCTAGCCGTCCGCTAATTTTATGTTAAAGTCGTGGACGTGAAGGTTGATCTCTATAAAAATAGAGAAACATTCACTTATTTACTGGAGTGGATCGTTATATCTTATATCGAGTGTAATCCACTTGATTGTGTGCACGCTTACGTCAAAAGTACCATCTTTTATACGTACTTAGCCCACTTTATAAAGCACTTATGATCTTATGCAAAGTATGCAATCGTACCTTAGAATATTTAGCAGATATTCTTTATTGGTGTGCTGAACGCGTGACCTTTTAGTTTTCTTAAGAGCGGACGCGAGCTGAGAGGCATTTGACGCATTGGAAAATACCGTGCGATAGGGACAACAGTAGTGAATGCTGAAAATTTTAAAATCATTAATTAAAAGAGTTCAATATAATTATATTTTGGGTCTGCCGAGATGTTGTAGTGCTTCTATAATATTCGCGGAGGTTGGGGTAGGTATCGGACTTATATGCCCCCTGGGAGACCGATTCCGCGCGGTGCTGGATGTATGCATCGCGTCGGGTCGCTTCCCCAGGCGCTGGAGAGTGGGGCGGCTCTGCCTGCTCCGTAAAGAGGGCCGCCCGGCGGACTCTCCGGCAGGCTATCGGCCGGTGGTGCTGCTCGATGAGTCCGGGAAGGCGTTTGAGAAAATCATCGCCTCCCGGATCATCGAGCACATAGAGGGCACGGGGCCGGATCTGGCAAACTGCCAGTACGGCTTCCGCACCGGCCGGTCCACGATGGACGCGATAGGCCACCTCAAAAGGTGGACTGAGGTGGCCACAGCGCGGGGGGAGGTGGTGATCGCGGTGTCCCTGGACATCGCGAACGCGTTTAATACCATCCCCCACGAGTGCATAGAGGTTCCACCGCGCTCGAATTCCACCGAGTGCCCCTCTACCTCCGCGCCCTCGTACGGGACTACCTGCGGGACCGGTCAGTCCTCTACGAGGACGCGGAGGGGCGCGTCCAGTCGTAGACAGTGGCGGCGGGTGTGCCCCAAGGTTCCGTTTTAGGCCCTCTATTATGGAACCTGGGGTACAACTGGGTCCTGCGTGGCTCGCTCCCGCCGCGACAAGGGTGTCGTCCGCGAAGCAGACGACATCCATTCGCGGCAAGAGCGAAGGAGTGGGAGGAGGCGGTCCACCTTGTGTCGGTCGGCACCTCCATGGTCGTCCGACGCATTCGCCTCCTGGGGTTGGAGGTGGCCCTCGATAAAACGAGGGCCATGGCGTTCCATGCCCCAAGACGCAGGCCACCGGGGCTCCGTGTCCGGGTTGAGGGGATCCAGGTTCATGTCGAGATGTAAATGAAGTATCTCAGCCTGACCCTGGATCCCCGATGGAGGTTCGAGGAGCATTTTAGGCTCCTCGCTCCCCGGCTGTGCGCCGCCGCAGCCGGACTCGGACGGCTCCTCCCCAATGTGGGAGGGCCGAGGGCGTCGTGCCGTCGACTTTATAATGGAGTGATAAGGTCGATGGCACTGTACGGAGCCCCGGTGTGGGCGGAGTGCC